AAACTAGAAAAAATTATTCTGACAGTTTTTCCACTTTAAAAAAATGATGAATGTTAGAAGACATAGATTTAAACTGGTTTAAATGTTATGTGGTGAGTACCTGCATGGAAACATCACAGATACTATCTTAGGAAGTACAAGTTGTAGGTTTTAGTTTTGGGAGAGGTTTTTGCTAACTTCATGTGAGGTAGGTTTGGAACCAGTCCTTCAGCCCTCCATCTTCCAAGTGACTGGGATTACAGTAGCTTACAACTTCTCTCTTCATGTTTCTCATTCATCAGTGAAAATAAATTTAAGTTAAGACATAGACTTCTAGAACCTAAAATCTGCCTCTAAATATATTAATCTCTAAAACATACTCTCAATAAATACATTTTCCAAATTAGACATTTGTATTTTTTGACCAACATTGTTAGCTGAATTCAGATACTTTGTGCCAGGGAAATATATAAAAAGCTAGTAATATAAAGTTACTAATACACTATGGGAAAATATTGAATACTGGCAAATTATGATTGTTTACATTTATGGGGCACAAAATGATGTTTTTCTGTGTAATCAGTGGGGAATGATGGACTCAATCTCTAACTTTTTTTAAATACCTTTATTGTAAAGGTGATGAACAGGTGGTTACAGTTACATAACTAAGATAATGAATACATTTCTCCCTTGTTATCTCCTGCTATTCCTCCCTACTCTCCTCTCCCACAAGTTGTGTAGTTTATTTCCAATGTAGGGTCAAGTGAGTATCATTGTTAGATTAGTTCATCCTTTGTCCTGCTGTTCCTATGATTTCCTTTCCCTTCCATTTATCGCATAAACTTATACACAAAGGGTACAGAAAACTAAAACAAAAATACAGAAATAACTGCATACAAGACATAATAAGAACCTCTGGTTTCCAATTGGAGTTCATGTTGATATGCTTCTATGCACTTAGCCGTTTGGGCTGTTTGATCCCCTGTTAAAAATATCATAGACATGTTCTAGTTATTACAAATGAGGAAATCCATGCAACCTACTTTTCTTTGGGCCTGGTTTACTTCACTTAATACAATTTTTTCCAGGTCTTCCCATTTCCTTATAAATAAGGCGATGTCATTCTTTCTGATGGAAGTCTAGAACTCCATTATGTATATATAATACATCTTCTTGATCCATTTATCTACTGAAGGGCATCTGGGTTGGTTCCATATCTTAACTATAATAAATAATGCTGCAATGATCATGGTGGTGCTGGTAGCTTTAGTATGGCCTTGCCCATTGTCATTTGGTTAAATGTCCAGGAGTGGGATTGCTGGGTCAAAGGGGAGCCTATGTTTAGTCTTTTGAGGAACCTCCATACTACTTTCCAGAGGGGCTGAACAAGTTTCCTCTCCCACCAACAGTGTAGTAACATTCTCTTTTGGCCACATCCCTGGCAACATCTGTTTTACTAGATTTCTTGATAAAATTCAATGACTTACATTGACTATTTGGATCAAAAAACAAGATCCATCTTTCCATTGTCTTCAAGAGACACATCTTTCCTACAAAAACATTCTGAAAGTGAAAAACTGGAGTAAAATCTATCAAGCAACTGGCCCTCATAAACAGGCTGGAGTTGCAATCCTAATATCAGATAAAATAGACTTCAATTTAAAGTTAGTTAGGAGACACCAAGAATGCCATTACTTAAAAATAAAGAGATCTCTCCTACAGGAAGATATAACAATCCTAAATATCTATACACCAATGACAGAGCACCCAACTTCATCAAAAAAGAACTACTTACACTAAAAACACACATAGATCCAAAAACATTGATCGATGGTGACTTTAACACACCATTATCACCTCTGTATAGATCAATATAGCAAAAACTCAACAGAGACACTTCAGAACTAAACAATTATATAGACCAACTAGATTTAACAGACACCTACAGTATATTCCACCCCGTGACACCATAATATATGTCCTTCTTGGCAGAACATAGATCATTCTCCAAAATAGATCACATTTTAGGGCACAAAGCAAATCTGTGCAAATTCAGAAATATTAAAATTATTCCCTGCATTCTCTCAGACCACAACAAAATAAAATGAAAGCTCAACACCAAAAGCCATAATGTAAAATCCTGCAGCTCATGAAACTGAACAACACATTGTTGAATCACCAGTGGATCATTGAAGAGATTGGAATAGAAATTCATTGGTATTTAACAAAAAAGAACACAGAAAATACCAGCCACTCTAGGTCACAGTAAGGCGGTACTCATAAGAAAATGTATAGTTTTGAGTGCTACTTCAACAAATTGGAGAAAGCTCAAATCTCAAACTTATTAAATTTATTCCTCACGTGTAGTACAGCTCTGTCTCAAGTGGTAGAGTGCCAGCCTTAAGTGGGAAAAAAAAATTGATCACATGAGGAAAAACATTTCAAAGTGTAATCAAGAAAAGATACTTTTATGATGGCCACTTTAATCAGAAACTCATGGTTTTCCATATGGTTTCTTAAAGAGTCCCAACTTCCAAAAATAATAACTTGTGATGACTGGTTTTTCTTAAACTATAATTTGAAGAGCTCATCAAAATTTGGCCCACAATGTAAAATATTTTATATGAGGAAATTATACACACAATATTTGTACTGCATGGGCGTTTGCGTTTGAACAGAGGTTGTCATACCAAAAGGATAATTGGAATGTTAAGAGCATGCCTAACCATCATCATAATAGGAAGATGGAGCTATTGTTATAGGCAGTCTTTGATTTAAATGGTTTAACATACTTCCTCTAACACACTGGCCGTGTTCAGGGTCTCCAGGAAGCCGGTAGGAGGATGAAGAGCTACATCACTGGAGAGGACTTTGGAATTTCCCCCTTTGGGAAGTTTAATTTTACTCAAATATCATAATATTTTGATAAAGACATGCAAATATTTGGGAGGACTTTGGGATAATTGCTTACTGGATTTTGTCTTCTTTGCCCATCCGCATGAGATTTAGTCTTGCTCAGTACAAGAAACACTGAAGCCTACCTCTAGGTGAGGTTGGCCAGCAGGAAGCAAAGGGACTCAGCCCAGTCCCGAGTCTCCACCCTGCTTAGGGTTTCCCACTGTGAGCTCTCCAGTCTATCAGAAACTTCCGTGTTTTCTATACTACAAATACAAGTCAAATTCTGTTGAATAAAGCTGATTATTGAAATAAATTAACCACCACTACTGAAAATGCACTTTCTCCTCTCCCTGAATATCTATGTTGTTTGAACTTTTGTTTGGAAGGATCTAAGGTGTAATGATTTTAAAAATATTCTGTGGAGCCCCATCCTAGCCCCATTTCTGGGAAACAATTTTTATGATTTTTTTTTTGCTGGTCCTGGGGCTTGAAATCTGGGCCTGGGCGCTGTCCCTGAGCTGCTTTTGCTCAAGGCTAGTGCTCTACCACTGGAGCCACAGCTCTATGTCCAGCTTTTTCTGAGTAGTTTATTGGAGATAGAGTCTCATGGGCTTTTCTTTCCCTGGCTGGCTTTGAACTGCCATCCTCAGATCTCGGCCTCCTGAGTATTACAGGTATGAGCCACTGGCACCCTGCTTAACTTTTTTATCTTTTTCTAAATAAATACTTGTAAATATGTCTGTGATATTTTTATATGTGAATACTTCCCTCCCTTCGCTCCTTTACACCAAGCATCTGTTGTGCTTCATGATGCAACATTTTCATCCATTTCTGTTTGACTTCTTTAGGTAGCCAATAAACAATAATTACATAATAACAATAATACTTTGAGCTAGTATCTCTTTGCTTTTATCTTCTCTGGCTGTATAGGCTTTGAATTGACATTTCCCTGCTTCCATTTCTTCATAAATGTAGTCCTGAATTGAGTCAGTATAGTTGTCAAGTTGTTATGAGGTTTAAGTGATCTGATACATTCTTAGAACAGTGCTTTGTGTGTGTGTGTGAGTAGCAGGTTTTATGCTACCTGCGACTCTCTTCTAGTACTAGTACTTAGGCTATATCCCTCTGTCCCCTGTATAGTAGTTTGATGTCATTTCTAGTCCTACTCCTGGGACTGGTAGCTCTGTGCACTCCACCTCAGCCAGAAGTGGCAAACCAACCCCTGCATGCTGGCACCACCTCCCTTTCTCCACACTGGACATCCTGGCCCCCTGAGAGGTCCCCAGGTGTTTCTTGGCTGAATGGCTGTAGTGGCAGCTGTAAATTTTTTTGGCCCTCCGCAGTCATCTGTATACTTCCTCCTTCCCCTACTCACCTGTCTAGTATTTGCCATGAGGGCCTGAGTCTTCATGTAATAATGGCCATGCTGTACATAGGCTATTACCACCCAAACTGGTAATCTAATAGGCCAGATATATTTGATGTGATTCCCACTCTATGAAACTATGACTGAGTTAAATTTTTAGTACATTTTAAAGCTACGCTACCCAAAAGAAGACATCCCTGTGGTACTCGATTAGAACTAAACTCGTGGGTCAGTTGAGAGGTGCATTGTCCTCGGGCCAGTTCCTCAGATTGTTCTTGCCTCGGTTTCGTCACCAGTAAAGAGGTAGCAGTAATTATGGTGGTGCTGCTGCTGCTGGTTACAGTGATGACAGTGTTGACGTGAAAATGCTGCTCTGGGTGCTCCCATCCAAGCGTCTGGATGAGGTAACCACTTGATGGCTCAATTAAGGTCAGCAGGTGATACTGATGACCAAGAGGTTAGAGGTGATGGTAACAACTAGATCATTTTCAGCAAGAAAATTCTGACTGTAGCTCAGTTCACGACACAAAAATACTCCTGTTAGCATATGCTAGCCCACCTTACGTTTCAGATTTTAAAACTTCAATGATAGATACATCTCAATAAAAATCAGAATTAGATGTCTATGTGCTATTGAAATAGCCCCTTAACCCGTGTGCACACACTCGTACTGGGGCCCACAGACCACCCCATGCCCACTCCCAGGGCCAGGCTAGCCAGGCTGCCTATTTGCTGACCCTCTGCTCTGTGTTTCCAGCACCTGCATGGGAGCCCAGGACCCTTACTGTGGCTGGGACTCAGTGATGAAGAAGTGTACAAGCCTGGAGGAGAGCCTCAGCATGACGCAGTGGGAACAGAGCATCTCCTCCTGTCCTGTGAGTACCCATCCGCTCAGCCCCAAACGAACGCCGTCTTGTAGCACCCATCCGCTCAGGCCCGAACGAACAACTCTGATGGGCCCGGCCCTCGCATAGCTCTCACACACAGCCCCGGGGGCGTGCCTTCCCCGAGCACGTATTTTTGTAAATGCAGCATGTTTTCTAAATCCACTCTCCATGGGGTATTGTCACATGGATTTTGTTTGGGGGGTTTTGTGAGGGGTTTTTTTTTGTCTGTTTTAGATGCCTTAAGAGTAAACAGCGCTGGCTTGATCACAAGAGCACACTATCTCTTTGATTCTTGGAATGTTTTTTCACACCAGAATGTGCTGTCAACTCTGGTTTGTCTCTCGTCTCACTAATAAAATGGAAATTTCTCCACTCAGACATTTCCCTTGGGATCTATTATTCCAGAAGCAGGCACTGGTGCAGATTTAAAAGATTGAAGAGTAACTACAGGATATTACGCAGGGTCACGAGAAACATTCTAGTGCAAGTTCCCACAATGAACCTTAAGGAAGGAAGAGAATCTTGCTTGTTATTTAGCGCCAGACCCTGAATCTAAGGAAAGCAATTTCCACAATTTCCTTTCCTCATTGGCTAATTTGGGTTCTCACTTGTAGTAACTCGTTGTTTTTTGTTTTGTTTTTGTTTTGTTTTGTTTTCCATTAGAATTCAACATCCAGTACCTGAAATTACTGGATGAAGTTTCTGGAAGAATTTTTATTTTTTTTCTCTTGTTCCCTTAGCTTATAAATGATGATTATTCATATCCATACATTTGAAAAGTTACGAAGGCATCCTGTGCTATTCTGGCATGGCTCTGTGAGACCAGTGCACAGGAATCAAAGCTATTCATTTATTTATGAGGTATCCTTGCCTTTCCTGATATTTTTTAACTGCCTGAGACATTTGGGCTGCTAGCTTTCCTTCTGTAAAGAAGTTACACTTTCCTTGATCTAAACTATGTGTACATGATGCCTGCCCCCCTGCTTGGTATATCAGACAGAAGAGAAGGAGGCCAGGACTCTGAACCAATGTCATTCCCCAGATGTTAAGTTAGAGAGGCCTTCATAAAAGGCCCTGTGTGAATTTCCCATCACACCCAGGTCTGAAAGTTTCCATATAGGTTTAGCATAGCACTTTTGGCTAGATAGCTTTAGGTCTTTGTTTATGGAAGGGAGCCTTTTAAAAATAGTTAGAAAATGTCAGCATGTATTCAGTCCCTTCTCATTTCTGAACAACAGCTTAAGAGCATAAAAGTGCACCATACAATCTTTTGAAAGATTGGAAATGTAACTTCAAAGTAGAGCTATGTCCTTTGAAAGGATTAATGCATCTTCCTGTACGCCTTTGACCTTGTATACTGAATGTTGACATCAGAGTCAGAAAAAGGCAAGTTCAGTTCCTTTCAAACAATAAGATCATTGTTCTTGGACCTATGATTGAGTGAATACCCAATAGAATGCTAATTATGAAATTTGAAATTAACACTCATGCACTTGTTTTATAGCAAACTTATTTATTGGAGACTTCTGCAGTAAAAATAAGAAATGGACAGATCCAGTAGTTAAGAAATGGCCAGAGTTGTCACGAAAGTTTTCTGACAGTGAGAGGACATTCTGTTCAAGTCACAGAGCAGAATGGATATGGTCTGGTGCCTTGAATGTAGAGCTGAGATACAATCTCTGATGCAGTCTCAATATGTACGTACATGTATTCTTCTGATACCAAGTGATTTCATTCTATAGCACCAATGCGTGTGTCACTCAACAAGATACAATTAGGATAAAGTCAGACTATACAAAGAAGTCAACAGGAATGTAGAATTAACTTAGTTTTTGAAAATCACTGGAAAATGTAATTTCTCATGTGGTATTGGTTGTAACTACCTCTGCTCTATATGATTTTATTTGTGTATATATATATATATGTACCTATATATACATTAAACAAATCTAGATGGGGTGTGTTTTTATGTGTGTATGAAGAGTAAATCAGGGCCTCATTTATGTGATATAGGCATTCTTCTACTGAGCCACACTCCATTTCTCTTGTGTTGCAGTCATGCATGATTTGCTAGTTTCAGAGACGTTAAAATGCAAAAGAAAAAACATTTATAATCTGTTAATACATTTCTTTCATTACCTTACCTGCATTTACATACACAGATATGTATCTTTATCCCAAACAAAGTAAGCATTATAACCTAGTAGCTATGGGATGAGAACAAGTATTTTTATAGCAGACGTAACAATGAAAGTTAAATGAGAAGATATCCTCTCATACTGAGCTCATAGAGGTGTGGATGTGACGATTACCCAGGACCCTCTTGTGTAGGCCTCTCCAGTGAATCTTCCTGACCCCCGAATAAATGACAGAGCACCGCTGAGCTTCCCGAAGCTGGTGTTCCAGTCAAACTGCTCATGGCGGTTGTGATTTGTGACTGCCACGATCTGTTTGTACTGTTATAAAAGAATACTTGGGACTTGGTCATGTATAATGTGTGGACATTTATTTCCCACAGTCTAGATGTGCAGACATTTTGCCTCGTGAGGCCTTGTGCTTCACACAGGGAAGGTGGAGGAAAAGACAGAACAGTTCCCTCTTTCTAGCTCCTATTAGGGGACCCTCATTGCCTAGCCACCTCTTACTAGTATCATGTAACAAACATTTGAAGTTTGGAGGGACACATTCAGTCCCTAGCAGCTGCACAGACCCTCCAGTCCCAAGGGAGTTCAAAGTGAAATAGGGACCTGGCCCCCAATATCCTTTGTAGGGGTTTAAGCTCTTCAAGGAGCCCTACCTTCCACAAAAGAACCCTGCTTTAAAATGCTTGTCTATTTGTAGTCCAGGAGACAGGGCAATAGTTTACTGGAATATTGAAGAACATTCTGCTGGCATGTATGATCATAATTGAGAACATTAATCTCACGTCAAAGCATTTTAATTACTTAATACCTAAAGGATCATATTCAGAACATTAAAAATGATACATATATTCTGCATGATTTTTAATGTTTCACAGGGGCAGTGTGGTCTTAAAAACCTCCCTGGGCTTTATTTATGCACAAATACATCCTGTGTTTTAGGAGAATGTGATTGCCAGAACACTGATAACTCCATGAGTCCCTGTCCCAAAGCCTGAGATCCACAGAGCACATGAAACACCTGAGTCTCATTTCAGACATGAGTGCTGTGACGAACACCTTTAGATAAAAGGAGAATTCAGCAGTGATCACAACGAAAGCCCTCAGGAGTCTGAAGCGTTTTGCCAAAGCCCTCCACCAGTGGGAAAGAATCTAGAATTTAAATGTAATATTTCTGACCTTCCCTAATCTGCACGATGATGGTACCCCCTCTTTTTAGTATCTCCTTAAATGAGATGGTGGGGAAGGGACGGATGGCCCAGGTTCACACTTCTTACTATGCTTGGGGAGTAGGCATGATGTTTTCGTCTGCATTTTGTAGTGGAATATACAGTAAAACAAGGACGAGGTAGCTGAGGTTAAATGGTATGCCCCCCCCCCATGTGATTCTGTCACTTAGATTGTTTCAAGTAATGTGCACGGTGACATCCACAGAGGGACATTATTGCCCGCGTTTCATTGATGGAAGAGGGCAGACTCGGCCCCTGCTCAGCAGTCCTGTCCGCAGCCATGCAGTCCAGCTTAGCTCCCATCAAAAGTGCTTTCTTCCCTTGTAATTTATTTGTAGACAAAGGCTTAGATATGTTATTAAATTGATGTCATAACACAAAGCAACCGAGGAGTGTATCCAATATCCTGTTTCACTGAAATCTCTGGCAGGAGGTAAAAAGGATCTGTGAAAATAAATAAAGGACGGTCTGCATTCCTTCTAAAATGTCGGAATAGATAGTGCAAGACTTCAGTTTTCCCATGGAGAATAATAGAATACAGTTAAGAATCTAAACGTGCACACTACCAAAGATGAGCTGAAAATTCAGTGCAACACCCATCAGTAGCCCAACATCATTCTCTTCAGAGATAAGGAAATCCATCCCCCAAAATTGTATGTAAACACAAAACCTCAAGTAGCCAAAGCAATTCTGAACAACAACAGAAACACCTTCCGCGGTCTGAACTGTTCCATCTGTGCCTTCCTTTCCTGTTGTCTCCCTGCCTGGTTGTCAGCCAAGGAGCATCATGGGCAAAAAGAGCAAAGGATATTTACTCTCACCCTCGAGATCACCCACTTGCCTTCTAGAGAACACATATGTCATCCATCAGTTCTACTATTATAAAAGAAGAGCAGGCCTGGAGTGCTTCTCCCTTGCCCTTCTTCAGACCAGAATCTCACCTTCCACGGCATACAGCCCTGTAGAGCCAAACCTGGCCAACCCTCGACCCCCGTGTGGCTCAGCATCCCTGTCCACCACTCTCTCGTGCAGGGAGTGTTGGAGCTCGCTCTATGGTTAGACAGAGGCCTGCAGCATCTCTGACTGTCCCTTAGCTCAGCTGGATGCCGAGTTTTCTTGACCATCTGTTGCTCTGTGGCTTCGGTTTCCGGGCAGGGTCATGACAAATTCGAGTTCTTAACTCATAGGTTCCTCACCTCTGATTCACCCCCTGAGTTATGAAGCCCCATGAGTTTCAGGTTTGTAGCTTCTTGGGTTCCTTTTTCCCCAGACCATAGAAGTTAATCGTCAGTTCTTTTTCCCAATGCTGAGCTCGGGTACAGTTTGCTCCCCCATCCCTGGAGGGGAGCAGAAAGAAGTCTGTATAAATTTATTTATCAATGTTGACATCGTGAGTAACTACACTAAATTTTTTCACATTCTTTTACTTTAAGTAAAACAACTCACGCGGGCTGGGAAGGTGGCTCAGTGGTAAAGTGCTTGCCTTGCATGCATGAGGCCCTGGGTTCGATTCCTCAGCACCACATAAGCAAAAAGGAAAAAAAAAGCCAAAAGTGGCACTGTGGCTCAAGTGGTAGAGCGCTAGCCTTCAGCTGAAGAGCTGAGGGACAGTGCCCAGGCCCAGAGTTCAAGCCCCACGACCGGACCCAAAAAAAAAAAAAAAAAAAAAAACTCACGTTCTTTTTAGATTCAGAGAGAGAAAAGTCTGCCCTCTGAACTCCTAGATGCTACTCACAGGGGAGTTTTGCCTGGGAAACACCTGCAGCTGTAGAGCTTTTGTTCAAGAGGAACTCAAATCCATGTTTATTGTCACCTTGAGGTGACATTTGAGCCATGCCAGGTTTCAACAGCAACTATTTCACTGGGCTTGCCTATAAGCATACAACAGATTTGTACGTCTACGTTTCTTGAATGCATTTCTCAACCTTGGGTGTCCCATAATAGTAGACAATTCGACCAAACCCAGAATCCCAAGTCTCTAGTGTCACTCCTTCTCCTCTCAATCCTGCCTCTCCCCTGGCTGTGTCCTCTGCCTTTACTCATCATTCTCGGTTTCCTCTTCTTCCCCTCCTCTCTCTCCTTCCTGCTTTCTCCATCTGTATGAGTAGCCTACTTTGCTTTGAAACTACTTCCCCACACATTCCACGTGCATTGTAATGTAAAACAAAATAGTCCTCCAGCGTGGACCTGATTGCTTTGTGAGAGGCCTTTCAGTTTTATGCCATTCTGTGCACATCTTTGTCCCTTCTGACATCTCTATCTGTACCTGCTTCTAGACCCGAAATCTCACTGTGGATGGGAGCTTTGGCCTCTGGTCTCCCTGGCTGCCCTGCTCGCACACCGATGGCGGCGCCCTGGGATCCTGCCTCTGCCGCTCCCGCTCCTGCGACAGCCCTGCCCCCCGGTGTGGCGGCTGGCCTTGCCAGGGGTCCAGCATGGAGATCACCAACTGCTCCAGGTGGGTCCTCTAGAACATGCTGGGGTACAGTTGTGTCTCGACTCAGGTGGCCAAGGACCTGGGGAATCGTGACCTGGGGAATGACAGGGAAGTAGGCTACTTCAAAGCTGCATGATTTACTCAAGCACAGTGACTCATGTCTGTAGTCCCAGCTACAGACATGGCAGAGATAGAAAGATTATGCGCTGGGCAACGCTAACAAGATCCTGTCGTAAAAATCAACTAAAACCAAAATTTCTGGAGTACAGCTCAAGTGGTAGAGCACTCTCCTGCCAAAAGAAAGGCCCCAAATTCAATTTCTAGCACTGACAAAAAACAAAATTACGAGATTTATGGGAGAAAATTTTAAACTATAAATTAATTAAACATAGGTTACTATGTTAACATATGTCAATATGTTTTCATCATTCAGTTAGGAAAATGTCACTGTTATTCAGTAAGCTTTATTGTAATATTTACAAAGCTATCAGTATGCATGTTCATTCTATCAATGTTAAATTTATGTAACTAAAGTGGAGAACAGAGAATATACTAAGAATTTTCTCTAAAGATTTTTTTTTAAAGTTATATAGTGGACTTAGTCTTTATACTTGTATCTTCAGTGGTATAGTTATGGACCTTTGTGTTTTTAAAGGGTTATATAAAGTACGATTTAGTGTTAATAGGAGTTTATTGCTTCAAAGAAAATGCAAATACTAGGAGTGAAAATACATATTTATGCAGATTCATATATGGCTGCAGACTAAAGAAAAACTCCACAGGCAGTGTTCTGTTGACACGGACTTACACTTTGAACTTAAATTGACATAGTACCTAGAATTGATTTTTAATAGCAAGATAAACTGCTTAAATTATGATGTCTGAATAACACAGATTTTCTAAGGAAGAAAGCACAATACTGAAAAACACCATACTTGCTGTTAGATGTGGGTTTTTTAATAAAATCTTTTGAAACATGCATCTCACTTTTAGTTTATACATGTATTACTATGCATGCACACTTACATAGTGCATTTCTCCACATGCATAGCGTAAATACATCTAGATCTACGCAATTTGCACACGTCAAAAGAACACGCAGCAGAGTTGTTGATTCTTCCCCCTGGTGTTGATGCATTTTAAGGAAATCGTCCGTGTCGTGTTTGTTCGGAAGTGTGCAGTGTTCACGGTGTAACGCAGGTCAACTGAAACCACGAATTCTGGAGCACGGAGCATGCGCTGCTCACACTCGTTATGGTGATGAACAGCGTCCTGCTGGACGTTTGGAGATGACTTGGGTGTGCTCACAGTCCTGGGCTCCGCGTGGGAGATGCGCAGCGCGCCTGGGCGGGCCGGGGCTCCAGCCTGTTTGACGGCGGTCGCCTTGCTCTCTCCCCGCAGGAACGGAGGCTGGACCCCCTGGACCTCGTGGTCGCCCTGCAGCACCACCTGTGGCATCGGCTTCCAGGTGCGGCAGCGGTCCTGCAGCAACCCCACGCCCCGGCACGGGGGCCGCGTGTGCGTGGGGCAGAACCGCGAGGAGAGGTAGGAGCTCGCTGCGCCCGCACGACCATGGCTGCTGCTGCTTCCCACCCCGCGGGGTCGGGCTTGGCTTTGGATCCCCTCCCTGTGGGTGGGGCTGAGCGGGCCTCATTTGGACATCCTCTGGTCTTTGACCAGTCCCCTCCTCCCCCGACCCTCTCTTCCATCCTGGTGGGGTCAGCGGAGGAGAGCGTGCCCAGGGCCTTGGAGACCTGGGCCCCGCGCCTCTGTGCCGAGCTCCTGGAGAGTGGGAAAGAGAGTGGGAAGTGGCTGCCCTGATTTCAGCTTAACCTGTCTCCCAGCCGTAGCTCCCTGGAGGGCTGCAGGTGAGGCGGCAGGTAAGGCAGCGTTTCCGGGAGAAGTAAATGAGGCGCTGGGGGTGCAGGGGAGACCGCACCCCAGCACTGGCTGCGTTTACAGTGACAGGCCAGCCTCCACGAACTGCACGTCACCCTGACATTTCAGCTTCATTTTGGATGTAACATTTGGTCAGGGCCTCAACGTGGACAGTTGTGGTTGTTGAATCGTCCTTGTACGTTTACTGTGCACTCCAGTTTGTCAGTGTTGGGAGAGATTCATGATGGTGAGTTCCCTATCACTTCAAATCATAAATGGCTTTCAGGGCCTATTAAAAGAACAGTAGACTTGTATTTTGTTGACATAAATTCAGTGTAATCTTATAAAAATACAGTATGCAAGCTGTACCAGTGGCTCACACTTGTAATCCTAGCTACTCAGGAGGATGAGATCTGAGGATCACAGTTCAAAGGCAGCTTGGGTAGTAAAGTCCCTGAGACTCTTTATTTTCAATTAGCTATCCTCCAAAAGGCCAGAGGTGGAGCTGTGGCTCAAGTAACCTTGAGGAAGAAAAAAAAAACCCTCAGGGATAGCATTTAAGCCCTGAGTTCAAGGTTCAGAAGCAGCACAGACACAAAAATACCATATTCAGTCCTGTGCTTATCTAAACTTTCTTCACAGCTGGGTGTCTAGTAGGAATGTGTTACCACGTGAAGTCAGAACCTTTCCTCTGTCTGCAGCTTGCCCCTCATCATTTCACAGTTTACCCTCTTTGAGTAAGAGAAAAGGGAAGGTGACTTTCGCGTGTGAGGCCTGGCGCTTTGGGAGGTGGTTTCCTGACCTAGTCTCAGGCAGGGCTGTCCTTGCCATCTCCACTGGTTGGCAGCGGGAAAGCTGATCCACCCACCATTTTCATGGGAACACAGGCTTCCTTGGATCCCAGGTGCTGTCACTGATCTAACAGGGTCCATCGTCTTTTCTCCAGACTGAGGATGGAGGAAGGAAGACACTGCGCAAATCTGTGCAAGTTCTGTCTCCACACATGGTGTAGTTCACATAATCCAGGGCTGCTGTGTTTGAGGAGGTGATACGTAAAGTACGCCTTCCATAAAGAAGATGTGCTCATTGAGGCTACGCGAGAGTTTGCCTAATCCAGGAAAGTGTTAAAGCTATAAAGCAGGAGATTATTTTAAAATATCAGAAAACCAAGTAGCTGGTAGACCTTGCTTTGCAGCAAAAATAAAAAAGTTGTCAGATAACTTTGCTGTGCTTTGTGGGAGGTCTCTCTACCAAAATGACATTTAAAAAAAAAATCCTCACGCTAACACTGAAGATATTTCAGAATTAAAGGCGACCATGATCTCCCTGGGAGGGTACAATTGCAAAAATACTATTGCATATTACTGAGTGGAAGCCAAATGCCAGTCCAGCATCTAGATACTTAACCGTAGATTAATAAAAGACCATTAAGTAAAGCCAAGTGTTAAGGTAACTGTTTTTGAACCCTCGTTGTTGAGCAACTCTTTGGGCACAGGTAAGGTGAAAAAGTGTCCAAAGGAAAACTGTTTGCACACACCTGTGAAGGCTGGGGAGGCCTTACCTCCCAGCAGCCTCATCCCAGATGGATTCCTGGATGAAAATGCAGCACAGAGAGAAGACATAGCCTGACAATTTCTTTATTTTTTTCACTATATCCTTACTTTCTTTAATTCTCTTCAAATAGTGGTACATATCCATTTATGTGTACAAATTGTTCAAAAGGGTTACACCATGGAAACCCATACCTTCCCTTACCAGTTTGATCATGTGTATATATGTGTGTTTTTATATGTTTGTAATTTTAGTCAACTTTCACATATGAGGCAAAGCATGCACTCTCTTACTCTGACTTATTTCCTTTGGTATGCTTTTTTTTTCCCTAGGTCCATCCATTGCCTGATGATTTCTTCTTCCCTCTCCGTTTCCTTGTTAGAGATCTTGTTAGAGAAATGCTTCATGAAGTCCTAGTGTGGCTTGTTTCATAAGACAACCATAAAATAGGAAAGAGTGGGGAAAAAAGGAAGGTGCGTGGCTGTCAATCTCTAGATCACGTCTTTGTGGACAGCATTCCAAGAGGATTTGCATACTGTGGTTGAGAGCCCTGGGCTGGGGGCACAGCTTAGCCTGCAGGAGGTTTTCAACCCTGATGTCCTGCTGACCTGTTGAAGGGAATGCAAGAATGTGTTTGTGCATGATAATTGTTTTTTCTGGGGAAAGAGTAGCTCAGTTGTGTTTGAGATTTTCCTTTGCTTCTCTCTCCCTTTTTCTCTTTCCCTCTCCCTTCCTCTCTCTGGCTTTGTGTGTATATGCGTTTAAAACAAATTAAGTACAAGGGTCTAGGAAGTCTGGGCACTTAAATATCAGTAAATTGGCATAAAAATGGAGCTTAGAATAATCCTCAACGACTTGCTTTACGCCCAAGGAGCTACACAGGGGCATTGGCTGAGGATGTTGTGACAGTCTGAGTTTTCTTGATGTCATCAAAAATTGTTCTTACCACCGATGGCAACTTTTTCCTAGAATCCTCCAAGCACCAACATGTATTGACATTGGCTTATTGTAACTTGACATACTGGTGCAAACTTCCTCAAGTTAAAGCCTTCTAAGAGCATCTTGTGTCCTCACTTTGCCCTTGGCGCTCTTCTCTACCTAGCACATACACTGTCCTAGATCCCTCCCTCCTCTCTCTAGCATTTACAAGTATCCAGTGGCATGACCCTGAGAGCCTGGGCACTGGAGACTCACCAGTACCTTAATAAAAGAACTTAGTGCTCCTGTAATCGTAAATGCTCAGAGGACAAAGAGAAGACCAATAATGATCAGTAAGGAACTGAAGCCACTGCCTACTCTTTTATATAAAAGAATAGAGAAGCTACCCTATGGATGGCTCTTGATTATAGAGACGCTTTGGGCCATGATACACCACTGGAACTGGCAGTACTTGCAGACTTCAGCTGACAGACAGATCCTGGATTCTACTGTTTATTATTCTATTCAGGATCACTGGTGCCATCTCATGTTTCAACAGCACCTTCTTTCTCTTTCCACCACCTTCTATTTGTCTAGCTTTCAATACCTCCCCTTTCAGATTGCTTTTGTTGGTTCTTACTTCTGTATTTGGAGGCTCATACTCCATGCTGAAACTGATGGAAACCCTCAAATTCAGGGGTTCTAGTCTAGCAGTAAAAAGAGACGACATCCTTTGAAGATAAGTCTTCAGTATAACTCTGATGGAACTATTTTGTCTATGGAGTTCCATGAGACTTTCTTGATTCTTTATAAATAGAGTTCCAGTTCTTCCATTCCATTTGGCAAAGTAGATCACAGATAATGTCCAGGAGACTCTTATCTCCAATTAACTACCACTTGCTGTCTCCTCTTCCTGTTCTCTTCTCCTCAGCACCATTACTGATCCTTCATCGCTGTAATTTTACCTTTCTTTATCTTCCCAAATGCCAACAGGTGCTTCTCAGTGTCATATGGCTTTCTTATGTCATGTTGCATCTATTGCTGAAGCCCTCTTGTTCCCCATTAAAGTCTTCTGATACGATGGAAAAGCATTTGAATCTTGCCAACAATTTCTGTTAGGAAACTCAGATTCCCTTTTTTAGGTGCTGGCTGTCATTTAACCTCCTTTTCAACCCCAGAACTGCACCTCATGTGGTGTATCAAGTGCAGTGTCAATCACGATGTGTTACTTGACATACAGGCTGCGGTAGGTTAAGACAGTGCTCCTTGTCATGCGCATGCTGAGCTTGTGTCCACTACTTGCATTCACATGAAGCCGTGAGCACCTGTGAGAGGAAGTGCTCTGCCCTGCCCTTCGCTTAACACCCTGCAGAATCCAGTTACTACTGACACGAAGACATCAAGGTGGTGGACGCCAGCAGCGCACACCTGCCATCCTAGCTACTCCCGAGGTCGAGATCTAGGATTGTAGTTTGAAGCCAGCCATAGCAGGAAATATAAAATGAAACATTTCCAATTAATCAGCAAGCAAAAGCCAACCAAAAAGCATGCACACACACACGTGTGCACACATACACACACACACACACACACACACGCACGCACATGAAGGTGACTTAGGCAGATATGAACTTTTGCCTCCTATTTCATAAGACAGATGATTTGGCAAGAGGAAGGCCCTGCATTTTAATATTCTCTAGATGCTACGTTTGGTCCGAGTAGATGACCTGTTGGACTTGGAGTCCTTTTAGTGGCCAGATGTGGCTCGTTAACTTTGGCAGTATTCACAGTAACCCCTCCTTCCCCATGTGCTGTGGCCTATGGAATTCCAGGCTGCTTCCTTTAAGCTTTTCCCTTGTTTGTATTTTTCACTTCATATCATCTCACTTGTATTAAAGAGTGAGAAATTTGACTCCTCATACAACTGAAGAAGGTTTTGGGTATTTGACTAAAAAACTGACAATATAGTTTTCTGCGTAAAACTATAGAAGTTAATGATTACAAAATAGATCAACTTTTTGTAAATTTTTATAGATTCAATTTTTGCATAACTAAACTTTTCATTTGAAATCATTTAATGTCATGGTTAGAACTTAATAATAGATTTTAAAATACTATAACTGAGGTGGGAAGGTGGCTTAGTGGTAGAGTGCTTGCCTAGCATGCATGAAGCCCTGGATTTGATTCCTCAGCACCACATAAACAGAAAAAGCCAGAAGTGGCACTGTGACTCAAGTGGTAGAGCGCTAGCTTTGACCAAAAGAAGTTCAGGGACAATCGCTTCTTGGCCTTTTGGCTAAGATCAAGTGAAGAAGTTCAGGGACAATGCCCAGGCCCTGAGTTCAAGCCTCAGGACCGGCAAATAATAATAATAATGATGATAATAATAATAATATAAGCTAAATACTACACAGCATAGCCCTTTATGTCAAACTCAGGCTTTTTGTTTTCTTTTTTCTCTTAACTCATCCTATGGTGGGATATCTTTAATTCACAAGTGAGAAATGACATCTAAGTAAAGCTATGCTGACTTTGTGTTTCTAATCTATGGTATCTCTTAGTGTTTGTGTTTGGAAGATAAATGTCCTGCCTAGATATGTTCTCTCTGCTCTTGTCCGTGGGTGTCTATTTGAAGGGTTTGTTCTGTCTTGTTTCTCCTTTCCCTGGCTGCGCAGGAAGATCCATGCTGCATTGTGAGTTTCGCATTTTCTTCACTGTCTGTCCCGCATCCCATCGCCTGTGCACTCGGCATGGCCAGCGCCACACCTGCCTCCCGTCCAGGGCGACCCCTCCGACAGCCAGAGCCCCGCGCAGCATGCCCATGGCTTCTACATCTTGGCCAGGGATGGAGAGTGACTTCCCAGGGCACTGATTTTCTTCACTTCTCGGTGTTCTTATTACAGATACTGCAACGAGCATTTGCTGTGCCCCCCGCACATGTTCTGGACTGGCTGGGGGCCTTGGGAACGCTGCACGGCCCAGTGCGGGGGTGGCATTCAAGCTCGCCGCAGGACCTGTGAGAATGGCCCCGACTGTGCGGGCTGTAACGTGGTGAGTAGCCGCAGCTCCACCCAGAGCTGGCTGTGCAGACGCCACACCCACCCACCGCCTGCGCGGCCACACTCATGCTCTGCACACACGGGGTATACACAGCACTGATGTCTGTGCACGCCTGGTGCTAGCATCAGATGCCTGGCACGCACTAGGCGCTCTGCAGACCCTTCATGTTCGTTGCCTGCTGCGTGTCCTATGAGGAGGACGGGCCCAGAAATGGGATGTCTGTAGGCACAAGACGCTCTCAGCCTCTAGACCGGCAATTGTCAACTCTTGGCTGACACCCTATCTGCTGCAAACATGAAATGCTCTGTAAACGGGTGACTGTGTTTTGACCAGGCACCAGGTATTTAGTACATAGTAGATGGTGTGACTCCTGGAAGCCTTTTCTGGTTAATGAGAATGACTAGAGGCAATACTGGAAGTTTCAAGGACTTGAATTTTCACATATGGGAGAAACAGCCCCCAGTCCTGTGTGCTGACTGACGATAAACATGTATTCTGGTCATTCTGTTTAGTTTGGAAAATGGGATGATGTCCCATGCTGGGCCCCGAGAGGTGCAGAGGGCAAAAAAGACCTGGCACCCCCTGGGGACAGAGAAACTGCAGAGCCATTGTGAGAACAAGTTGGCACACACCCAGAGGCAAAACAGACAACGTATGGTTTTGTTTTCCTTCTGCCTTAGCAAGTCATATTTCTTTTAACACTTCAAACTGTCAAATAAAATTCCACTGGTGCAAGCTCTTTTGAAAAGCCCATTGTTGCTCATCCTGCGTCCTCCATATGGCTGGCTGAGCAGTGGTGGCTGCTGTGTGGAAGCCTTGCTTCCTTCCCTGGTCCTGGCCTAAGTGTGGATGAGACTTGGTGAGAGTCTGGAAGAGAAGCTGTGCACAAGAGGCCTGGCTCTGCATCCTTACCACTGGCCTTGGCCGATGCGCTCTGCGAGGCCCCCATCCTTGCTTTGTGAGGCGAGAGATTTGTTGTGCTTTGGTGAGAAACAAAAACACATACAACAGAGGCTTGGGAGCGTTAAGGAAATGACAAAGGCCTCCCATCTTGGGCCAGATCTAGAGAGATTTTTCTTACCGAGACTTGCAATTAGTTCTTTTTCATCACACCAATAAATACATTGTAGTAGCTCTGCTCAAATCGGTTACTGACCATAAAGGTGGAGATATGTATCTTAGCATATGGTACATAAATGGAGAGATACTAGACAGGCAGACAGACAGACAGATAGTAGAGAGATGGATAGATAGATGATAGGTAGATAATAGACACACACATGCTTTCATACACAGATGATAGATGGATCAATGGATAAATAATTTTATATTCTGAAATTCAGAATAATCTCTAAAACTGTGAAGGACAGATCAGTGGGCACCTGGTTGTTCTGGGAAAATCACTTGAATGGGAACCTTTATTCTTTATCCTTCCTGACATTCCCCATCTACTGCTTCTGTCTTGTTGTCTGAGAGTGGACCTGCCCTTCCATCCCAGGGTGTGTCACCTGCCAGGATCCCCAGGAAGTAGACCACAGTTGGCCTTTCATTTACATTCTGAACATTTTGCTGCCTGAAGACTTAAAGAAACAACACAAACCATTGGCTTTCTTACTGTACATTAGTAATTACATAAAGAAACAGATTGATGAAGGGAAAAGTTACATAAAGGAAAGAATATAGTATATTTCTTAGATGTTACTGAAATACATGAGCACATAGATGCGTGATTCATCTGCTTATGATTGTAAAAATGGAAGGTCTTGCAAAATGGCCATACATTTGTTTCTTGGTGTAGTATTATGACGTATCTACTGTTGGCCTCAAAATGTGTTTGGTTTCAAGGGAGATATTTTTATCGGGATAGCAGTGGTAAGTGTTAGGAAATTTGATTTAGATCATGAAATGGTCGTCTTGCCTACATCTCACTGGATGACAGCGAAGTGCTTTTTGGAGCATGAATCTCCCTCTTTGAGGAGGGTGGGGGTCCCTGCTTCCAGAGCTCCAGTATCAGAATCAGCCATTCCTGCCAGGCTCCAGCAGAGGTTGAGCATCTGACTTCCCTTTCCCCTCATTTCTATATCATCTCTGGGTAGCAGCTGCTCTCTAGGCTCTCTCTTATTTAAAAAAAAAGATAGTTTGCTAATGAGATATTACATTGTCTGTACAGCACATGTTTGAGGAAAGTCTAAGAACCTAGATGTTCTGAATATTGTAATAACTTCTAGAAAAGGAGCCGCTGTTTCATGTCCAGGTATGAAGGAGGTTGTAAAAGACTCAGGGATCTTTCCCTGCTCCAACATTTTAAAGATGAAATTTTCACTATGAAATTTAAATTTCACTTATGAAATATATAATGAATCACCAAACTTTTGTTAAATTTCAATAAATGGCTTTAGTTGAGAGCAGGTTTTTATAGGTTTTTATAGGTTCTTTCTGTGACTCTCTGATCACAAAGTCCATGCTGTTGAAGGGGAGGTGATCTAAGCCCTAGACGATGCCCTGGAGTAAGCCCTGGAGAACGCTTATTAGTGCTGAGGGAAGGCCTGGGCCTCGTGCTACCTTACTTCTGTATACCTGAACTCTGCACACTGGCATTTGAGATTCTGTATTCTCGTCTGTAAAACACAGAGTCAGGGCCTGGAATTGAGATTCTGTTACCCTTCTCTGGTCACCAGGACGTAAGTGTCCAGCTGCCTGAGTGACTTATCTCTGAAGAGTTCTGAATGACCAAGACCCTTAAGATAGTTACAACCCATTCCCCAGCAGGTGTGTTATGGGAACATCTGGGCCACTCTGGTCATCTCTGAATTCCTGTGCCCTCTCAGAATGGGTGGGAAGACAGGATGCAGGTGGAGATACCCCCAACCCCCACCTCCAACTCTGAGAGTCCCATCCTGAGGTATGCATTTAGTTGAAATAGGGAATCCTAACACTGACCAACAAAACTCTTTGGAACATTATTATCCAATCTGTAATACTTTAATATCTTCTATCCAGGGCCAAGTCCAACATGATATTCATCAAATGCAAATTATTATTACCATCACTTCTGTTTCGGGAAAAAAATGTTCTATACTTTCTTAATACAATGGCATCAGAGGACATTATATATATTAATTTCTACTTAAACTTCTATTAACGCATAAATTTTATGCATATTAATATTTATATATGTAAATATTGCTAATATTTTATATTAATTATCTTTGGAATGTTTGTATTTACTTTTTCATTGTTTTGATCATAGCAGTTAACTGTAACAGTATTTATAAGATCAAGTTTTATTGAGTATCTATTACAGAACATGCATTTTCCTATTGGTTATCGAATGTATGTTTATCTCTGAGAAGAGTTTTCATTATTGCTCCCACCTGAAAAAGGAAAAACTCAACATGAAATGGATTTAATAAAATTTTCCTGGTACCAAGTTGCCAGTGAGTGACCAGACCAGACCTGACTTAGAAGCACAAATAGAACTTTTAAGAGTTTGACACATTTGCATAATTTGTTTGAAAAAAAACCCAAAAGAACCTTCAGCATACCTGCTTGATTGGTAGATTTATTACACGCAGTTTTGACCAAGTGCAGTCAAAAATTGCACATCAAATAGAAATTTCTAGAACAAAACACTAAAATTCCCCCCATGCTCTATGAGCAGCTTGGTGGATGTGAGAGGCACTCACCCAGTCAATCCCCGTGTCTGTGAGGTGTCGGAGTCATCGAGGGGCTGCTGAGCAATTCCCTTCCCACGTGTTGTGGGAGCAAGGGTGCCCAGAGGTGAGGGAACAGTTCCTAGGCTCAGTTCCAATGATACAGTGATTTGCTGCTGCACGTCTGTAGTAGACGTTGGGCAGTGCTATGGGGAAAATGAGGTAAGAATCTACAGGACAATGCTAAACGCTTCCCAGTGTCCACAGATTTTCCTCAGTGGAGATCTCTTTGGAACCAGGGATTGAAGGTTATCAAGGGACTGCTGGACTTTGCTCTGTTCCTATCTGATCTGAAGGACATTGACAGAAAGAGGAAGTTCTGTCTGAACTATCCCTATTCTGGTCCATGGTCAAACTTGATTTTTATATTATTTTCTTGCTGCCAATCAGTCACATTACCATGAGCATTGAAATTAATTGACAATAAACCCACACTTCACTTAATCTTAAGCCTATGTTTTAGCTGAGAGTTAGAACACAAGAAAGATGAAAAACAGGACATGTTTTGCTTTAGGGAAGGGATTTCTTATTTAATTAATATAACCCAAAGTTCCATAAAGGGATAGCCAGTTTTGAAGAGTCACATCCAGAAAAAAATAATTTAAAATGAGAAAGAGATTTTAGCATTGCCTGCCCTGTATTTCTTACTGAAATATCACACAGATCAAGCATAAAGCAGTTTACCAAAAGCAGAGTGTTAACGTATCAACAAGGACCGTCATAGGACAGATATTTATTTCCTAAATACGTAAGTATTGCACCCCAGAAGGCCCAGAAAGGTCAAGAAAAAAAGCTATTCTGATCAGCAGACACTATCAAAGGGATTCAGTGGAGGTTATTCTTGATGGGGATGGGTTTATGCATGAGATTAAACATATTCTGGGGCTGCAGCTCCTTCAAATCAAACTCACATAAAACTGCACTCTCTTTTCCCTTCCCCTTTAAATATCATTTAGTGACTGAAAAAATGCACATTCCTCCTCACCAGTTGCAGTGGTTGAATGAAATAATCTGAAGTATTTTCACATAAGATGCTCTGGATCACCTTGACCTTCATGAAGAAGGTGACAGGAATGAACAATTCCATTACATCAAGGTTGTAACATGCATTCACTTCTGTTTGCAGATATTCTTCTCCAAATGAAATGATCGGTCTCCCTAGATGAAATGTTATAGTACATCTTCATAAGCCAGGGAATGCAAAATTTGCTTTCTTTTGTTATAAAATAGCTCAGTGAAGAGCTGCCAAACATGAAAGATTGTCAGAGTAAAACTGTC